GCTCACAGGCTTTTAAGACCCCAGACACTACTCACCAAGGTAGAATGTAGAGCATTATCTTTATAAGTAGTGTCATGCCAATTGAGCTAGATGTTCCCCAAGACCATGGTCCCCACGGCCCTCCACCCAGCAATTCAGTCCCTCGGGGAGTTTGGATCTGTCCATGGGTAGGCCTGTCAATTTCTTAATGGTATCCTGGCAAAGAGTTCAGCCCTGCAGGTGATACTCACTGATTTAAACGCTAATAATCTGAGATAATAGATTTTTCCATATGAATACATTTGGAAGTTTTACTGGAGTAGCTCAGAGTTTCCCTGAAGGCACAATCATGTGCTCACCCTCAGCTGGCAGGCAGTTTCGCAGGTACTCAACTTCCTCATACTCCAGGTCATAACCCATGTTTTCCAGGACGTTTTCCAGTTTAGAGACATAACACTGCCCGCCTTAGAAAAGAAGAAAGTTATAAAAAATAGGAAGTGATATCTAAGAGTGAAAAATACTGGCTATATTTATGCACCAATTGGATGGAACAAATTCACTGCACAATTTAAAAAACAAAACAAAACTGTTCAGGGCTACTTACAGACTTATTGTGGAAGCCATGAATATAATATATGTTGCCAGTCTTGTTTCATGATATCCTTTCTACAGTTTCCAGAAAAGGTATATTTAGAAGAAACTTAATTATATATATAGTCATGTGTTGCTTAATGTCCATGATACAATCTGTGAAATATGACATTATGTGATGTGGATGTTGTGTGAACACCTGGGTCTGTGGGGTGCAGTGCTCCCGGATGCACAGGCCTGGGGGCTGCTGTGCGGGACCAGGACCAGGCAGCTCCCACTGTGGACGCCTCAGGTGAGTGCTTGGCTGGGTCCCACCCAGAGCAGCCTGGGCTGCAGGGGAAAGGGTCGCAGGGGAGCCGTCTCGGAGACCTGGTGCCCCTGCCCTGGCCTGGACCCGCAATGCCTGCTGACATTGTGCACTCGGGAGCAGGACTGGGTGCCTACTTTTCCCAGTGAAGGGTCACTTGCTCCTGCAGGTGGGGTGTGGTGGGGCAGGCTCGCTGCAGAGTCAGGCTGTGGGTATCCCCCCGGAAGGCCCACTGGACCATGGTCTGAATTTGCCTGAATGGATATTATGCAGCACATGACTATTATATGAAATATATATCATTTTATTTATACATATTAATTATATATTTTATTTATACATTCCTCATATATATTAATATATATTCCAAGTTACATATATATGTATATTCTAGGTGAATCTGATGAATTATGTTAGACAATAACTAGAGTTCTGGATAGCAAAGAGAATTTGAAACTTTTGTAGTGTTAGAGAACTATAAAGTGTTAGAATTTTTTAGTGTCAGAGAATTATCACATTAGATGTAGTTGCATCTAAAATAGAACTATAGACTAATAAGATAAAAAAATCTAATTATTGTTGTGAAAGAAAACTCTAAAACTGAGGCGCTTGACATAGTTAGAATGACTGACATAGGTCTGAATTGGACCCTATCTTGTCCTATGCCACTACTTCTGCTTTTTTAGAGTATGTGACCCATGACTATACTCTTGACCAAAATAACTTCTTCTGCAACATTCTGAGGTGGCCCACCCAGACTGTTGCAGGAATCAACTCTGGAACATGGGAAAGTGTGGCTAAGGTTGAGTACCCCAGCCAATAGAAATTCTTGATGAATGAGTCTTACAGACCATGTTGAATGTCAACCAACCAAATGTACCCTCCTATACTCTTACCCCACCCTGTACAAAGTTCAAATGAAAGAACTTGCTCTTATGATTCCTCTTCAGAACGTCATTTTGGCGCTTCCCACTTTGCAAATCTTTGAATCTGAATAAAACTCTTCTTTTATTTTACAGAAACTCTGTTTCATTTTTAACATTGTGTAATGAGAAGGTCTTTTAAAAGGTAAGGTAAAGCTTACATATTTTAATTTTACTTGCTTTCTTACTGGGATTTTCACTTACCAGAAAAAGATTTTATAAAATCGAACAAGGTATTTTTATCCACCATTCCATCATCTGTAAAAAAGGGCACATTTCAAATCAAAGAAAAAGATACATGGGCAGTACAAAAGAAAGGACAGGAAAAGCATAATTTCATAAATGTATATTTTAAAAATTTTGCCTTCTGAATCTTTTCTTCTACATTTCCCATTCCCACACACCTCTTCATAAATAAGACCAAAAATAAGCCAAGGAGAAAGTTCTTAATGTGGGCCACTTATCTCTTTCCCCACCTGAGTTTTCCCTTTCTTTTTCTCTATTGCTAATTCAGCATTCTTTTGCTCTTTGCCCTGCTTAAGCTTGAGGATATCCCACCTGAATTTAGAGACCATCTCAAGAATAGATTTGTCGCATCCAACACTAATGACCAAAGACCAGATGAGCTGTAGAATGATATCAAGGACATCATACGTGCAAAAGGTCATTAAAAAGACAGGAAAGAAAGAAAAGATCAAAATGGATGTCAGGAGAGACTGAAACTTGCTCTTGAACATACAGTAGCTAAAGCGAAAGGAAGAAATGATGAAGTAAAGGAGCTGAACATAAGATTTCAAAGGGCGGCTTAAGAAGACAAAGATTTCAAAGGGCGGCTTGAGAAGACAAAGTAAAGTATTATAATGAAATATGCAAAGACCTGGAGTTAGGAAACCAAAAGGGAAGAACACGCTCAGTATTTCTCAAGCTGAAAGAACAGAAGAAAAAATTCAAGTCTTGAGTTGCAATATTGAAGGATTCTATGAGCAAAATATTGAATGAAGCAAGAAGCATCAAAAGAAGATGGAAGGAATACACAGAGTCATCGTTCCAAAAAGAATTGGTCAATGTTCAACCATTTCGGGAGGTAGCATATGATCGAGAACCGATGATACTGGAGGAAGAAGTCCAAGCTGCACTGAAGGCACTGGCGATAAACAAGTCTCCAGGAATTGACGGAATACCAATTGAGTTATTTCAACAAATGGATGCAGTGCTGGAGGTGCTCACTAGTCTATGCCAAGAAATTTGGAGGACAGCTACCTGGCCAACCAACTGGAAGAGTTCCATATTTGTGCCCGTTCCAAAGAAAGTAATCTAACAGAATACAGAAATTGTCGAACAATATCATTAATATTGCATGGCAAGTAAAATTTTGCTGAAGATCATTCAAAAGTGGCTGCAGCAGTATATCGACAGGGAGGTGCTAGAAATTCCAGCCAGATTCAGAAGAGGATGTGGAACGAGGGATAGCATTACTGATCTAAGATGGATCCTGGCTGAAAGCAGAGAATACCAGAAAGATGTTTACCTGTGTTTTATTGACCATGCAAAGGCATTTGACTATGTGGATCATAACAAATTACGGATTACATTGCAAAAAATGGGAATTCCAGAACACTTAATTGTGCTCAAGAGGAACCTGTACAAAGACCAAGAGGCAGTCATTCAAACAGAACAAGGGGATACTGCATGGTTTACAGTCAAGAAAGGTGTATGTCAGGTTCTATCCTTTCACCATACTTATTCAATCTGTATGCTGAATAAACAATCCAAGAAGCTGGACTATATGAAGAAGAACACGGCATCAGGATTCGAGAAACACTCATAAAAAACTTGTGATATGCAGATGACACAACCTTGCTTATTGAAAGTGAAGAGGATTTGAGGTACTTACTGATGAAGATCAAAGATTACAGCCTTCAGTATGGATTACAACTCAACATAAAGACAACAAAAATCCTCACAACTGGACCAATAAGCAATATCATGATAAATGGAGAAAAGATTAAAATTGTCAAGGATTTCATTTTACTTGGATCCACAATCAAAGCCCATGGAAACAGCAGTCAAGAAATCAAGTGACATATTGCATTGGGCAAGTCTGCTGCAAAATACCTCTTTAAAGTTTTAAAAAGCAAAGATGTCACTTTGAGGACTAAGGTGTGCCTGACCCAAGCCATGATATTTTCAATTGCCTCATGTACATGCAAAAGCTGGACAATGAATAAGAAAGACCGAAGAAGAATTGATTCATTAGAATTATGGTGTTGGTGAAGAATACTAGATATATACCATGGACTGCCAGAAGAAAGAACAAATCTGTTTTGGAAGAAGTATAGCTAGAATGCTCCTTAGAAGCAAGGATGATGAGACTTCGTCTGATGTACTTTGGACATGTTATCAGCAGGGATCAGTCCCCAGAGGAGGACATCACGCTTGGTAAAGCAGAGGGTCAGCAAAAAAAAGGAAGACCCTCAAGGAGATGGACGGACAGAGTGGTGCAACAATGGGCTCAAACACAGCAATGATTGTGAAGATGGTGCAAGACCGGGCAGTGTGTTGTTCTGTTGTACATAGGGTCACTAAGAGTTGAAACTGACTCAATGGCACCTAACAATCTAACAACAAGCTTTATTTGCTTCAGGGTAATGATATATTGAATGACAGGAACCTGGTTTGAAGATATCCTAGTCTCTCAATCTATAAACCTAAATGTCAAAGGCATAATTTCTTTACAATGAAAGGTTGATCTTTTCGTCTTCTAGAATTTTATAGGCCATCAGATGGCTCCATTTTTATGATGTTCTCACATTAAAGTCCACACTGGCACAGAGAAACATACCGGTAACTGGCAACATTTTCACCAGCTCACAGAGTTCTCTATTTGTGAGCTCTATTCCCATGCTTCTCAGTACTTTTCGTAGGCTCTTGGCTTCAACTTTTCCTCCTTTTAAAAGATGAGAATGGTGACAGGTGAGAATTGCCTACTGACTCCAAGTGAAGAAAACTGTCTAAGCTTGTACAGCATTATTTACAGTTTTCAGATGAAAAGCATAGGAAATAGAAGTTATTTCTTTAAACATAAATACTTATTTGTAACATTCTTAATGATCTCAGAGAAGTTAACCTAGTTCATACTAAAGGGAGATAGGAGGCCCAGTGATCTAAGTTTGTATAGGCAGCTAACTAATCTAAATCATATTACAGACAAAATCTGTGTTGCTCTTTTGCTTTGCCTGAATTATGAGATCAATTTTATCCTCATTAACCACATTATTTGGATCCTTGTCAAAGTTTTACCTTAACATTTACTGAGTTGCAGTAGGTGCTACATAATATTTTGAATGAACAGGTGTGTTGGCTGTTTAATCATGGTGAAATGACTCATAAAATAAAAGAGGTTTCAGAGAACATAGAACTTGTTACAGAGATATAGCACCACAACATTTCTGCTAAAGCATAAATAATCCAATGTATTCTTCATGTCATTAGACTCAAACATTTAATTATTTAAAAAGTAGAAATTAATAAGTTGATAAGACTAAGAAAATAGTTTTAAATATATATGTGAGTGAGAAGTACAGTAAAACCTGTGAAAGCTGGAACTTGTGTAAGGCAGAAACCAGTCAGAGAAGGAAAAGTCAAATATTGTCCACTAAAATGAACAATAGAAAAGTGGTTAAGATTGCATTCTGTCAAAGGTGGAAAACTTGCAATACCCGGAAAAACAAGGCAGTCCCATTGAGTTCCGGCTCTCACAGATTTCACTGTATTTGCATTTTAGTTTTACATCTTGTCACAAACCATCTTGCTGACCTGTGAATTTCTTTACTTCTTTTAGCAGTTTATGCAGATCAGTCTTCCCAGAAGCTAAAAAATAAGCCAAAATTCAGATGGACACAATTGTGCACTGATTCAGAAAGATTGCTAAATAGAACAAAGGAATTAATTTTTTTCTTTATAATTTGTTGTTGAATTATACCTGTGATATACACAGATAAGCATAAAACAGAGAAAAGGACTTTGTAAAAAATGTTAACTATAAATTTCATTATATATTCTCTCCTCTTCTCTTTTTAGATCTCTGCTCCTACACACCATGGTTCATCTCCCTCCTCAGGCTTGTTTACACTATTTACTATAGCAGATCCTAGGAACAAGATGAAAAAGTTTCAGTTTAGAAATCTTAAGTCTAGCTATTTTTCCCTTTAAACACTCTCCCACATTGACATACGCCAGCTTAGTAGCTTACGCTATTGCATTTTTTTTCTAGTAGATATTGACAAAGATTGTGAATGTCTTTAGATGGAAAGAACCTGTCTATTTATTCTGTATCTTATCCAGACATCCTAACCCAGAAACTAGCATAAGGGTTTGCACATAGCAGTACTAAGCACTTTTAAAATTAAACCGTGGGATGGAACATATTACAATGACAGAATTAGCACTCAAATCAGTACTTTTTTCCTTCAGAATTGCAGATTCAGTAGGCTTTAGGGAAAGAAAAAAACCCCCAGAAATTCTGTACATTATTGGTATTTTTTTTTTTTAAAAGGATACACTATTATGATGGAATCCCATTCTTCATTTGAGGTAGTTTCCATTACTCCTGTCTATACATTTAGTTAGCAGATTTACACTTTGGGGGCTCTTGCTACATACAGAATAATATAGTTTTACATAACACTTCCATGTTGATGATAACCATCAATTAACACCTATTGATGAACACAACTGGAAAGTCCTTTTTGAGAGTCTTGAATAGTGATTAATAAACATATGTATTAATTCATTCAATCAGAATATCAAATACATGCATGCATTTGTGCTAAGCACTGGGGGATAAAACATAGACATGATAAGCAACATAGACATGGTCCCTGGCCTCACAGAGCCTTCATTTATTACTGATTTCACTAAATCTAGGACAAAGAGAAACTTTTGATCTTTCTTTTCGCTTTCTCTATCAGGACACACTTCTAGAAATCTTTTTTATTCTAAGTAGCACAGAAAATATGTGCTGATTCCACAGGGTAAAGATCAATGGTATATTAGCTAATCATGTACATAAAGAATCACTGAGGGAAGCAGAGTACTACTTATGTGATCTAGGTTTATAAACACTTATATTTGCTCCACAGGTACATAATGAGGAAGCATCTACCTAAGGATTAAACTCAATAGCTTCTCGCCTCTGAATTTTTAATTGGGGATCTCAGTCTGGGTTTCAGATATACAAAAGATATCTTTCCCCCCTCAGAAAATAATATAGTTTGTTCAATTTATTGGCTAGGGCATTTTTTTCAAAACCTTTTTTACTTACTATCCACAGGTATTTATTTCCTCCCTTTCTTGGAAATATTACTAAAATGATAGGAAAGGAATACTAAATGTACACACTGACAAAGACAAAGAATATGGGAGAGGAGGTAACAGCAAACAAGGAATTTCACAAATATTTGGAAATTAGAAAGAAGGTGAAGGAGTAATAACTAATTTACCAGAGCTGAGGAAATTAGAACACGAAAACCTATGGGGGATACTAATGAAAAGTGGGGCAATTCACATTTAAGAACTCTGAAAAGTTTCAAGACAAGGAGTGTACCAGGGGTTAGGTATAGGGCTGAACACAGGGGAGCTGGTTGGAACTCTACACATATGCAAGTTAACGACCCACCCTTACCATGCCAGTTACTACCTTTTCTTTCATTCCTATTTCCTCCACATTTCACTCCACCACTACCCTCACCCTCACACCCCTACGAACCAGAAGTTTGTTCTCTGGAGACATTGAAACAGAGAAGCTCTGGACTCTGAGAGGCTAGGCACAGCAAATGTTAGGGAAGGAAATTAAAATGGGTGATCAAGTGAATGTTTATAAACTGAAGTGGCATCCATCCTACTCCAAGAGCATCAATAGCAAGGTACGTAGTCCTCAGACAGGTTGATTAGAAGATTCTTCTCTGGAGTATCCAATTGGCCCCCAGAGAAAAGACCTCTGGATACTGACATCTGACCTTTCCCCAACATAAAGACTAGGTCCCTACCTTAACTTTCCAAGAAACCCAACTGTTGACAAGTCCACCCATGTACACAGAAAACTTTCAATAGGTATTTAATGCCACAATCTTAGTTATGATTGGCATCCAGGTAAACATTACCTGATATTTGAGGAAAGCGTCCAAAATGAAAGAGAGACCTAAGAAAACAAATACATAAACACAAAGAAAGAACCTGGAAAAAATAAAGGCCATGTAGATGGGACACGAAAACATCAAATAAATTAATTAATACCCTCACAGAAATAAGAGGAAGATATCGCACCCAAAACATAAAAATGGATGTTTTCAAAAGCAAACAATCAGATAACAAAATGAGTTCCTGGAAATTAAATGATTGCAGAAATTAAATAACTCAATAGAAGAGGTGGGAGATAAAACTGAGGAAATTGTCCAGAAATAAGAGTGAAAAGACAAAGAGATAGTCAACTTGAAAACCAACAGGTCCAACTCTGATCAACAGAAGATCAGATAGAAAGAACAAAGGAAATGGAGAGGATTCTACAAAACAAAAAAACAAAACAATACAAGAAAAATTCCCATGCAGGAAAGATTACTTTGGCAGTGAGCAGAGCAAGGGGGAAAGTTAAGAAATAAGACAGAACAAACACAAAAATTTTAAGACTGAAATTACACACATCATGTTTTCTGACCATAATGCAGTTGAGCAAGAAATTAATTAAATAATTAAATTAAATACATTGAAGTAGATTGCTAGAAAAACCTATGTTTTGACATTAATAAATATTTTTTAAAAAATAACCCATAGTTAAACAACAAATCATAATGGAGATTATAAAGTTTTTTGAATTGAATGATAATATTATACATCAAAACTTGAGGGGTACAGCTAAAGCAGTACTTAGAAAAAGATATATTTTTAAATGCGTTTTAGAAAAGCAAGATTAAAAATTAATGAGCAAATCTTCATCTTAATAAGTTAGGAAAAGAACAGAAAAAAAAAGGCAGAAGGTAGAAAATAAAGATAAGAGAAGTGAAAAAATAAAATTTCAGTAGAGAGTATCTGTGAAGCCCAATGTTAGTTCTTCGGAAAAAAAAAATAAAACCGATAAAATTGACAAGTAGCTAGTGAGATTGATAAAAGAAAAGGAGAGAAGGCATAAATAACCAATATCAGAAATGAAAAAGAGGGTATCACAATAGATCTTCCAGACAATAACACAATAATAAAATCATGAACTATACTGTATCAATAATTTTGAAAATTTAGATAAAATAGAAAAATTCTGGAACAATATAATTTATTAAAATTGACATCAGAAGAAACAGAAAACATGAAAAATCCTATTACTATCAAAGAAACTAAGTCAGTAGTCAAACATTTTCTCTCTAAAAATACTCCAAACCTAGATAACTTCACTAATGAGCTCTACTAAGTATTCAAAAAAGAAAAAATTCTGATCATTAACAAACACTTCCAGAGAATAAAAAACAGGGAACACTCTCTAACTCATTTTGCGAAGCTAGCATAATCTTAATAACAAAACTCAACAAGGATAGTATAAAAAAACCCAAAAACTCATTGCCGTCAAGTCAATTCTGACTCATAGTATAAGAAAGGAAAATTACAGACCAATCTCATTTATGAACACAGATGTAAAGGTCCTAGACAAGATATTAACAAATCAAATCCAGCAATAAATAAACCCAAAGAGGGTTTATTCCAGAATGCAAAGTTGATTTAACATCATAAAATTAACAGATTAAAGGAGAAAAAAAATCATATGATAATCTCAATAGACACAGTAAAAGCATCTTGAAAAATTCAATTTCCATTCATGATAAAAGTTCTTAGCAAACTAGAAATACAAAGAAACTTCCTCAAACTGATGAAGAGTACATATAGAAACCTTACAGCAACACCACACTTAATAATGAAATGTTGAAAGTTTTTCTTTTGAAAATGGGAGTAGATCAAGAATTTCCATTATCCTACTATCATCATTTCTATTAAACATTGTATTTGAAGTCCTAGCCAGCATAGCAAGGGAGGAAAAAGAAATGAAGGATATAAAAACTGGAAGGGAAGAAATAAAATTTTATTGATGATATGATTGTTTAAAGAGAAAGTCCAGAAGACTCTACAGGTTACTAGAGTTAAAAAAGAGGTTAACAAAATAGGTGTATATGAAATAAGTATATAAAATCAACTATGTACCAGCAACTAATAGAAAATGAAGTAGGAGGCAAGATCATCTAGTAAGTGTCTGGGGGAGGCACGGAGTAGTAGGATAGGCATCTTCAGGAGAGATGGAAGTTTGGAATAAGCATTGAGGGAAACTAAAAGGAAGTGTCTAAAGATTTCTAGAAAGATAGACTATCAGCAAAAAGTTTCCAGTTGAAATTAGGGAGCAAGAATTTGGAGAGGCACTAATATGCAACTTTATGTGGTTTTCTTTAGCAAGGTTCAGCAATAGAAGTGGAGATTTGAATGACTGGGCTGATTAAATGTTAGGAGTTTTATAAAGCACGTATGACAGAGAGAGTAGTTGGACAGTGAAAGAAGTTAGACAAGCATTTATGTATTAGAAGAAAATGGAGAAATCCAGGGACTAGTATTTTTGTGGAATATAAGGGGTACATTGTTTGGGAATAAGAGGAAGAGAACTGGAGGGCTATTATAAAGAGAAGGTAAAATATTACTGTTTAAGGTTTCTAATACGGAGAAGGGATGAGAACAGGAAGGAATAATGTGAACCAGTGCCAAAATATAAGGGAAAGGGGCAAGGGAGTTGATATATCACAGAGGTATAGGGGAATGTATAGCCAGGAGACAGGAGCTTTTAAAGATATTTAAATGACGTTACTAATCTGAAATTACAACTTCTCTGTGGAGATGCTTCTCTCAAGTAAAGACATCACCTATAACTTATTCCAAAACACATACCATGTACCCTAAGATCAATGAAAACACACTAAATCAGAATATGTTCTTATTTTAAGACTGGATTCTTCTCTAATATTTAAAAAGTCATATCAGCACCATAATAGATATAGTTCCAGGAATTCTCATACATAATCCTGTAAGTCTAACTTTCCCTAAAAAGCCTAATAATATCTATGATGCTCACCATCAACTGGTAGGTTTTGTGACAAATCTTTAACTTTTTTATCTGGGATCTTGATTTCCATGTTTTCCAAAATGTTTTCCAGTTTACTGACATCAACCTTCCCACCTGAAAAAAAAGAATCAGGAGCACAAGGGAAATTTAATGATCTCCCTGAATGAGAAAATTTCTATTAATCCCCATTCTCCATGACAAGCAGCAAAAATATCAGTGACCCTACATGATGAAGTGCACAACAAAACAAAACAACTTGTTGCCATCAAGCTCATTCTAACTCATAGCAACCTTACAGAAGAGAGTAGAACTGTCCCATAGGGCTTCCAAGGCTGTAATCTTTACGGAAGCTGACTGCCACTGCTTCTGGTGGGTTCAAACCGCTGACCTTTTGGTTAGCAGTCAGCCAAGCGCTTAACCACTGCGCCAAGGAGAACAAAATGCAATTAGAATTATAACTTCTTCCTTTAAGGTTGGTCTTGAGGACAGTCCTACAAAGCACAAATTAATTCTCCACTGAATTATAACGGTGAAGACAAAAAATTGAAAATTTGTCCTGTACCAAAAAAAAAAAAACCCAAACCCGCTGCTGTTGAGTCAATTCTGACTGATAGTGACAAAAAAAAAAAACAAAAAAAAAAAACCCAAAACAAAATATCCATTGCCATCCAGTCGATTCCAGTTCATAGTGACCCTAAAGGACGGAGTAGAACTTCCCCATAGGGTGTCCAAGGGGCAGCTGGTGGATTTGAACGGCCAACCTTTTGGTTAGCAGCCAAGCTCTTAACCACTATGCCACCAGGGCTCCCATAGTGACAGGTAGGACCTAAATGCTCAGTTTAGTTCTTTCAGTTACTGAAACGCCTGCAACACCTGCCAATTCTTTACTTCACTTTTTCTACATACTCCCAGATTTAAATCTGTTTTTCATCTCAATTTGGCAAAAGCCAAACTTACTAAGTCGCAAAATGAAAGACTATTTGGAAAATGCAGTTACATTTGAAAACAGCAGAATAAATACAGAATCAATTAATATGAGAGGTGGTAAGATTCACAAAAGAATAACTAGACAATAATATAAAAGTGAAGTGGGAGAATCTTATTTATCTGCCTTCTCATTATGCTTCTTACTCACCTTTGAGAGATTTCACACCATCTAGCAATCTACTTTGATATATATTTCCATCATCTGTAAGAAAAGGCACAATCTCACAATTCATATCACAGATAAAGGGATACAGAGATTTAGAGAGACAGTACATTTCATAAAAATACTTTAAAATGATTTATTTTAGAAATAACTTTGATTTTGCCCTTTGATGAGACTGAAACCATGCAATGCAGAAAACTCAAGAGTGCTGTGCCTGATTGAATGCAAGGTCAATAATTAGTGCAAACAGCTATAATGGAATATGAACATGTCTTTCTTTCACTTTTCTTCTCTTTCTCCCATCCAGACTTTTTTTTACCCATACTTTTTTTTCTTACATCCCTCAGCTTAACTTTCAGTTCTGAGGGTGGAACATACATAGTAATAGAAAATTTTACATCAAACGATAGGATTCAAGAAATTAGAATTGTTGACTCCCAGAGACAGAATGAAATAATACTTTCCAAAGGAAGAACAAGGTCATGCTAAAATTTCTTAATTGTTGTTGTTGTTTTTAATAACTAGGATATCCAATGAATTATTTAATATGGCCCTTCTAGCCATGGTCTTTGTGATTTACACACAAGATGGAGTGGCACTGTGCAACTAAGGTATATAGAACCTGCGAAGGTTGGAATTATGTGTCAATTTAGCTAGGCCGTGATTCCCAGTATTGTATAGTCGTCCTCCGTTTTATGTGTTGTAAATCCTAACTTCTACATGTTAATGAGGCAGGGTTAGTGTGGGGTGTATCTTGAGTCACAGCCTTGCAGGAGGGTATGGCTCAAGTCCCACCCTTACTCAAGTTACGCCCTTCCCTGGGGTGTGGCCTGCATTTGAGGTATGCATGTGGGTGCCCTGGCAGAGCTCTCTCTCTCTGCATCTGGATCCTGCAACCAGTTCATGATCATATAATCTCTGGTTCTAGGGACTTGAACCAGAGGCCTGCCATCTGACCTGATGATTCTGGGATTTGCTGGCCTCCGCAGCCCCATGCGCCCGTGGCCTATCATATGACCTCATTTGCCAGCTTCTGCAGCCTTGTGAGCCAGCAGCCTGCAGTTTGGTTTCATCAGCCCCTGCAGCCATGTGGGTCAGAAGAAACCTATGCCTGACCCACAGATTTGGAACTTGTCAGCCTCCACAACCATGTGAGCCGTTTCCTTGATAGGTTCATGAGTTGTATTGCAGTGAATTATCGAACCCAAAGAAGAGAGGGAGAGTACTGAGGGTAAGGGGAGTAGTTGATGTTAGAGATGATGGAGCTGTACAGCAGTTTGGAAAAGTTGGACATTTGGGACATCTTTAACCTCCACCTCATAAGAACCAGCTTTGTCTGATCCTTATAAAAGAAATTATTCATTTAAATAGGTAGAATTTTTTAAAAAGTTGTCTTAAACACACAAGACTAAGCTTCTTCAAAAGCTCTAATAGTATTTGAAATGCTTACCATCAATTTGCAGACATTTTGCCAGTTCTAAGCATTCTTTAGATGTGATTTCTATCCCAAGGTCTTCCAGAAAATTTTTCATATCTTTGACATTAACTTTTTCTCCTTTGAAAAACAGAAATGGCAAGTACAGTTGACAATATTAAGAACTATCTAAAGTATTTAAAAATATGGAAGATAGTTGTCCATTTTTATACATCACCATCCCCAGCTGCTAGGTAAAAAAACAAAGAGACAATAAGATTTGTCTAGTGGAATTAAGGGAAGGTATACAATTAGAATTTATTCCCTTGTCTTTGGGGCAAGAGGTGCTTTCATAACCTGGGAGATAAGACAGCATACACACACACACACACACACACACACACACACACACACACACACACACCCCAAAAGACAAAACCCCTCAAAAACCAGTTGCCATCAATTGATTCTGATTCATGGCAACGTCATGTGTTTCAAATTAGGACTGTGCTCCACAGAGTTTCCAATGGCTATGACCTTTTGGAAATAGATTGCCAGACCTTTCTTCTGAGGCCCCTTGGTAGATTTGAACCAACAACCTTTCAATTAGTAGCCAAGTTGCTTATCCATTTGCACCACCTAGGGACTCCCTAAGACAGCACAAATCCCAGTAAATTGGGGATTTAGATAATTGTCTAGTAAATTAAGATACTGAAAAGGTTGACTTAATAGTTTCTCTGTTCTCTCCCAAATTGTTAGATTATTTGACTGTTAACATAATCTATTCTTCAACTTCATTATGGTGATCTAGATCAGGGGTCAGCAAACTTTTCTGTAAAGGGCCAGATAGTAGATATTTTAGACACTGCAGGCATTACAGTCTTTGTTGCAACTATTCAATTCTGCTCCTGCAGCACGAAAACAGCCATTAACAATACATAAACAAATGAACATGGTTGTGTTCCAGTAACATTTATTTATAAAAACTGGCAGTTTTTATAGACTTGGCCCATGGGCAGTAGTTTGCTGATCCCTGATACAGATATTGACTTTTTTGGTGGAGATCCGAACTGTATTATTATTGGCAAATATTTTAGAGTATACAGGACTTGCTACTAAGAAATGAAAAACAGTCAATCCAGATAACCCAAAGACTGACTTTGGTCAACTGGACACAAATGCTTGTAACAGTACCCTTGTAACTGCCATCCAGGTGAAGAAATAGAACATTAACAGTACTCTGAAAGTCCCCCTCATGTTCTTTCCCATTCTCTAGAGTAAACACTATTCTGGCTTTTTGGACAATCACTTCTTGCTTTCCTTTATACACTTACCACCCAAGTTTTGTATTTTTTTTTTACCTTACAAAAATGAAATTGTATGTTATTTTCAGGGATATCCTGGGAGGGTGGTGGTTGTGGGAGTGATCCACACTGGGTGCAGGCAATCAGGAACTGTATTATTTGTAGAGAATTTAAAAACAATAATAAAACCAATTAAAAGTAAGTCTGCTTTTTATTATCACCACACGCTGGCAATTCCAAATAATGTCAGTGATAAATTTCCCTTCCTATCAGGGTGGATTGTTTCCAACCTATTCCCATCCCTCCACCCTCTTCCCCGCCTCCACCTTTGTATGCCACTTTTGTGCTGCTGTTTTTTTTTTTATGTAAACATTCATGTAACATAAAACTAGCCATTTTACAGTGTACAGTTCAGTGGCATTTAGTGCATTCACAATGTTTTAAAAGCATCACCTCTATCTACTTCTATAAATTCTAGTGCATAAATTTAACTCTAGAGGGGAAATGACTGCAGATGACATAACCTTGCTTGTTGAAAGTGAAGAGGACTTGAAGCACTTATTGATGAAGATCAAAGACCACAGCCTTCAATATGGGTTATACCTCAACATAAAGAAAACAAAAATCCTCACAATTAGACAATAAGCAACATTATAATAAACAGAGAAAATATTGAAGTTGTCAGGGATTTCATTTTATTTGGATCCACAATCAATGCAGGGAAGCAGCAGTCAAGAAATCAAACGACGCATTACATTGGACAAATCTGCTGCAAAAGATCTCTTTAAAGTATTGAAAAGCAAAGATGACACTTTAAGGACTAAGGTGCACCTGACCCAAGCCATGGTGTTTTCAATCACCTCATATGCATGTGAAAGCTGGACAATGAATAAGTAAGACCAAAGAAGAATTGATACCTTTGAATTATGGTGTTGGTAAATAATACTGAATACACCATGGACTGCCAGAAGAATGAACAAATCTGTCTTGCAAGAAGTACAGCCAAGTGCTCATTAGAAGGATGGTGAGACTTCGTCTCACATATTTTGGACACGTTATCAGGAGGGACTACTCCCTGGAGAAGGACATCATGCTTGGTAAAGTAGAGGGTCAGCGAGAAAGAGAAAGACCCTCAATGAGATGGACTGAAACAGTGGCTGCAACAATGGGCTCAAGCATAACAACAATTGTGAGGATGGCTCAGGACTGGGCAGTGCTTTCTTTCTGTTGTACATAGGGTCGCTATGAATCGGAATTGGCTCAATGGCACCTAACAACAACAACAACAGGGAAAATGAAATAAGAAAACAGATAACAAACAAATAAAAAAAACCTCCATCAATATTTAAAACAGGTGGGGCCAAGATGGCAGAGAAGTCAGACGCTTCCTGTGGTCCCTCTTACAACAAAGACTTGAAAAAACAAGTGAATTGATTATCTATGACAATCTAGGAGCTCTGCACATCAAAGGCAAAGTTGAAGAATCAGACTGAATGGCAGGGGGAGGGAGAAAAAGGTAAGAAACAGCGAGGGGTTGCCAGACCTGACCTGGCGGGAACTGACACCCTGCAGCTGGCGCATGCAGTGAGGCAAGCAGTGGTGCTCAGGAGGCATTTTCTTCATCGGGAGAGACTGAGCGGTGGAGAGTCTACTTAAGCCTCCAGAATCAGTGAAAAGCGGCGCTCAATTGACAAAAGATACGTAGATGCATCTAACCTACCACACGGATCAAAAAACACTCCCTTTGGGAAAAGCCTCTCTCACATTTCCCCTCCCCACTCTGCACTGGGTCTCTAGCTGGCTTCAGACATTGCTGTGTCCCCTGGGCCACAAGTGGGACCCATCACACAACCTGAGCCATTCAAATTAACAAACAGGAACAAATAATCTGCCAGCTCCACTAAACGGAGAACTTAGGCTCCTTTGCCTAGGCACAGGCATAAGGTATCCATGGACTTTGAATGTCTTTCACCTCTGCATAGACCTGTGTGGGCCCATTTCAAAAGCGTAGGCCCTCATTAGCACAGTACAACAGGGCATATACCTGAAGCCTAACTTCAACTGTATCAGATATATGGTGGAGTGGCAGGTTTGTGACATTTGACACCACTCTGTCCATTAAGCAGGGCCCTTATCTACCCATATTAAGGGCCTGAAGACTAGCAGCTCCACCCATGCCACCTAGCCACCCACAACAGTGGTCCAAGAATAAGTGGTGCCTCCCACTCCTTACAGCCAACAGCACTGGTGCCCACAGTCCAGCTGCAAAACTCACCTACCTATGCGCTGTAGGGAACAGGGAGATACTTTCCTCCCAGACACTCAGGGCCAGCCGTCTCTCCCCTGCCTTGCTCAGTGTGTGACCCCCTACTGCAGCCAGATACCTGTGCCTACACCAATTACCCCTGCCCGCCTAGGGCTGTAGGCAAGAGCCTGCACCACACACTTGGTGACCAAACTACCTGGACACCTGAGTTGAATCTGTACAAGAAAAGTAAATGGACTCCTGGGCTCACATACCTAGTAACAGATCTAACCACATGGTGACAGGATGTTAGAGCTTCAAAGGGGCCAATAATCAAACTAGCTCACACAAGCAGCCTATTTGGGCATATCAAAACAAAACAAGAAGCTAGGACACAGGAAGCAAACATAAAATAAATAAATATAATAACTTATTGATGGCTTGGAGACAACAGTCAATATCAAATCACATAAAAAAGCAGACCATGATGGCTTCAGCAAGCTCCCAAAACAAAGAATCAAGAAATTTTCCAGAGGAAGAGAACTTCCTGGAATTACTGGAGGTAGAATACAAAAGATTAGTATACAGAACTCTTTGAGAGATCAGGAAGGAGATCATTCAAAAGGCAGAACAAGCCAAGGAACATACAGACAAAGCAATAGAGGAACTTAAAAAGATTATTGAACAGCATAATGACAAATTTAATAGGCTGCAAGCATCCACAGAGAGATAGCAAACAGAAATTCAGAAGATTAACAATAAAATTTCAGAATTAGACAACTCAATAGAAAGTCATAGGAGCAGAACTGAGGCAATGGAAGTCAGAATTAGTGAGATTGAAGATAAAGCACTTGACACCAACTTATTTGAGGAAAAATCAGATGAAAGAATTCAAAAAGATGAAGACACCCTAAGAATTATGTGGGACTCTATCAAGAGGAATAACCTACGAGTGATTGGAGTACCAGAACCGGGGGTGGGGGGATAACAGAAAATACAGAGAGGATTGTTGAAGATTTGTTGGCAGAAAACTTCCCTGATATCATGAAAGATAAGAAGATATCTATCCAAGATGCTCATCAAACCCCACACAAGGTAGATCCCAAAAGAAAGTCACCAAGATGTATTGTAATCAAACTTGCCAAAACCAAAGAGAAAGAATTTTAAGAGTGGCTAGGGATAAACAAAAAATCATCTACAAAGGAGAGTCAGTAAGATTAAACTCAGACTACTCAGCAGAAACCATGCAGGCAAGAAGGCAATGGGATGACATATATAAAGCCTTGAAGGAAAAAAACTGCCAGCCAAGAATTATATATCCAGCAAAACTGTCTCTCAAATATGATGGCAAAAATAGGGCATTTCCAGATAAACAGAAGTTTAGGGAATTTGCAAAAACCAAAGCAAAATTACAAGAAATACTAAAGGAAGTCCTCCCGATAGAAAATCAGTAACATCAGATAACAACCCAAGACTAGAACACAGGACAGAGTAACCAGATATCAACCCAGACAGGGAAGACACAAAAACAAATTAAAGCTAAAATGCTGAAAATAGGGAAACAGAGACGTCAATATGTAAACGATAACAAC